CCATACCAATCTGACCATGGGGTAAAATTCCTTCCTGACATCAAATATGGTGATTGGTCTGATCCTGAGCAGAGGGGCATGACCTTCAAGTCACAAATCTCTGGCTTTGCTCCTCGCAGGAGAATCAGCATGCCCCAGCTGAAGTCCTCAGCCTTAGCTGTAGCCAACATTCAGTGCCTCTGATAAGGCTTAAAAACACCATGATGCATGTAGCAAAATAAAGAGGACACAGGGAGCAACTAGCAGAACCCGGAAGCATGGGAAATACTCATGGTAGAAAATAGGCATAGCTACACCTAGCTCATTCCTGACCAGTGGCTGTCCAACCCCTTCTTGAACACCTCCAGGGATGAAGAGTCCACAACTTCCCCAGGCAGTCTGTTCCACTGCCTCACTATTCTCATAGAGTGAAGAAGTTTTTCTGGATACACAATCTAAATTTACTTGCTGCAACTTCAGACCATTGTTCCACACCCTCTTCTCTGCAGCAAGAGAGAAAAGGTGTTTCCCTCTTCTTTATGGCAGCCTTTCAAGTATTTGCAGACTGTAATCATGTCCCCTCCTAAGCACCTTTTCCACAAACTGAACAAGCCTAGCTCCTTCACTCTCTTCTCATATGACCTACTTTCCAAGCCCTTGATCATCTTTTCTGCCTGCCTCTAGACCCTCTCTAACTTCTCCACATCCTTAAAAGGTGGAGACCAGAACGTGAAACAGTACTCTGGATGAAGCCTAACCAGTGCCAAATAGAGTCACTATCATTCTGTCTCTTGCGCCTAAGCCTTCTATTGATGCATCCCAAAACCGCATTTGCCGTTTGTGCAGCTGCATCATACAGCAGACTCATACAGGCTCCCAAGTCCTTTTTCATGGAGTTGCCACCCAGCCAGGTGTCCCCCATTTTGTATTTGTGTTTTTGATTATTCCTCTTGAGGTGTAGCACTTTGCATTTGTCTGCACTGAACTTCATTCTGTGGTTCTAGTCCCATTTTCCAGTCTGTTGAGATCCTTCTGAACTGTGCGTGCATTCACCAACATGTTTACAATCCTTCCTGGTTTTGTGTCATCTCCAAACTTGCTCAAGAAGCTTTCTATGCCAGCACCCAAATAATTAATAAGCACATTGAACAGCACTGGGCCTAGGACAGACCCCTGTGGGACTTCCTGCCATTCTGACATGGACCCATTAATAATTGCACTTTGTTTGCAGCTATTGAGCCAGTTATCTATGCATCTTGTACTAGTTTTACCTAGCAAACATTTCTGCAACTTGTTTATGAGGAAGTTGTGCTGGACCTTGTCAACAGCCTTGTTGAAGTCTAGATGCACTGTATCTGAGCATTTCCTCCATCCATCCAAGTAGTTACTTTGTCAAAGGACGTTTAGGGCTGCCAGGCTCTGGAATGGACTCCCAAGGGAAGCGGTGCTTTCTCCTACCTTGGGGGTCTTCAGGAGGAGGCTGGATAGATATCTGGCTGGGATGTTATGACCCCAGCACTCGTTCCTGCCCAGGACAGGGGGTCGGACCTGATGATCTGTTTAGGTCCCTTCTGACCCTAACCACTGTGAAACTATGAGATTACGATTGTTTGATGCTATTCGTTTTTCATAAATCTATGCTGGCTGTTTGTGATCAGACTTTCCTTCTCCAGAGACTTATGAATGGCCTTCCTTAAGATATGCTCCAGTAACTTCCTGGGTGCTGAAGTAAGGCTCACTGGTCTGTAGTTCCCTGGGTCCTCCTTCTTGCCTCTTTTAAAGAGATTAGGCTTAATGGCCTGGGAGGATCCTTGCAGCCCTGCTTCAATCTGAGTGCTGCTCCTGAAACTGTCCCTGGCTATCTGTGGCCTCAGGTAAATTGCTTGTCCCCTGTGCCTTCATTTCCTGCTGTACTTTGCTTAGTATTATACATCCTGTAGAAAGACCAGCACTTAAAATGTTGGCCTTGCCTGTGCTTTGGCAGGTATGCCGTGCCCTCTCCAAGTCACTCCAGTCCCCTTCCCTTGGCTGGTCTCCTGCTTTGCTTTCTGTTCCCTGCCCTATCTGTCAGTCTGCTGCCTGTTTCCTCTACAATCTGCTGTGTACTGTGGGTTGTCCACTGCTGGCTTAGAACACTAGTCTGCACCTTGGGAGCCCTGAATCCAAGTCTTTGCTTTGGTAATCTATTTGCTTGTGTAACCTTGGGTAAGTCGCTTGCTCCTGATACACAAAGGGAGCTAGGCACCTTACGCCAATTGATTTCCATAGGAGGTAGGTACCTAGACGGCTTTGTGGATCTGAGCTTTAGGGTCTCTGGCTATAGACGCATGTAACATATAACTAAAAAGGGAAGAAGTTGTGATTCTGGAGCTTGCATCACCCATATTTTATGCCTGTGCTCCTGTAGTGATATAAGTGAGTTAAATTCCTGTAACTTTAAATCTAAATGAAACATATTGAAGTGGCAGAGGTTTTGCTACCTACATATCACCCTAAGAGCATGCAAATCTTATTTCACTTGCACCAGCTCATACCTATGTCATTTGATACTGGTATGGCTGTCATGTCTGTCTAAACCAGTGATTCTCAACCAGGGTGCCACAGCACCACAGGGTGTCTTGAGATCCTTTCAGGGGTGTGACAGAGTGCTACGCAATGTTATCGCAGTTAGGTGCGCAAAGATGATTCACAAGTTAAATCCAGAGAATTCAAATAGGAATCCAGAGTGTTCAAAGCATTCTGACCTTCTTTGGTCTTTTTGTGTTCTCTGCAGTAGAAGCTTGCTCATTTTTTCTTCAGTCAAAAATCAAGTAAAAAATAGGCGACATTTTTTGAGGGGTGCCTTGAATCTAAAAAGGTTGAAGATCACTGGTCTAAACCCTCAGTTCTCCACTTGTAAAACAAGGATAAGAGCGCATTTTTAGCTCGGAGGGGATCTTGGGGTGCTTGTGCACTTTGGTAATGGGGACTGTATAAAAACCTAAAACAGGAAGGAGAGCTTTCTGATTTCACAGACTAGGGCAGCGAGTATTAGTGGATTATGTTTTTGAGCTGTCAAGTGTGATATACTATAGCCAGACCTTTTTCCCTTTGTGGTTTTGAGTCCGTTAGATTTTTTGTGTTCTGTTCTAGGTGCTGCAAAGAGACCTTTATCGTGTTCTGATGACTTCAAAGACTTGTTAACAATGCCAACCTTTGGAGCCCGGAACCTCTGCAAGCACTGGTCCAAGGCAGGTGTGTCCACATACTCCTCCCAGCACTTACCTTCGAAGACACTTGGCTCTTTTGTGCAACCCTTACCTTTTGGATTTTTATTTTAGATGCTGAGAAGGAAGGACCTGCGATCCAGTCAATTTCTGCTTCAGCTTTGATCAAACAACAGAAGCAGCAATTGCTAGAGGCAAGGAAAAGGCGCTCCGAGGAGATCCAGAAGCGGTAATGCGCTAGCATCTATGGCTGCTTATGGGAAAGCTGTCCACTTGTTTACCCCTCAGCTAGTTTTTTTCTGAGATTTTAAAGTTCTGTAAAACTTAATCTGAATAGAACTAATCTGGTTCTTACTTCAGTGGAAAGCTAAACACACCAGCACTCTGCTTGAGAACTGGAAAGAAAAATGGAGGAAGAATAGGTAGAGCAGGCAGCTGAGAATCATGAATTCCCTACTCCAGCACTGACTGACTGACCTCAGAGGGATGTTCTGATGGTTCACCTTTGCAGGGTCCTGTGAACATCTTTGATAGGCCTCGTTTCACTGTCCCCAAGTAGTTGAACTGCATGCTGGTTTACTAGCAGGACTGGCAAGGCCACTTCTGTTGATCAGTGACTTCTGCCTTGACAGGCTTCTCTACATTCTGTTCTGGTATTTGCAGACTCTGCCTTGGTTTGCTGCAGTGACCTATGACTTGTCTCCAATGCCTGTTGTCCTCCTTTTTAAGGTTTCTTCAGAATGCAAGTAAAGCTGAGACGGCAGCTTTACCATCCTCTGCAGGGCAATCCACACATAGCTCTCCAACCCCAGGGGCCGAATTCCCCAAAGCTGCAAAGATGACAACCCCACAGACACCTAGACTGGGTGCAGGGTTTTCTGAAGGAGATGATATCCTTTTCTTTGATGTCTCCCCCCCTCCAGCACCAAAGCTAAGTGGCTTAGCAGAAGCTAAGAAGGTAAATGCTCCTTTGAAACACTGAACTTTGAACTCCATCTAACTAGCTTAACAAGGAGTTTAAGGGGTGGCATGATCACAGCCTGTAAGAACTTCCAGAATGAACATGTAGAGCCATTGGATCTCAATAGAGCTTTAAGTTGAAGCTAGGCACATTCAGACTGAAGACTAATTAACCCTTGGGACAACTTAGCTATGGCTATTGTAGATTCTCTGTGTGAGATTTTTAAATTGACATTGGCACAGAGGTGCTCTAATTTAAACAAGAACAAGTTCAGGGAAGTCCTTTGGCCTCTGTTGTACATGAACTCAGATTAGACGATCACTAGTCCTTTCTAGCCTTATAATTTGTGAAGTCTGACACTGGTGGCATTGCAGTGGTTACCTTGCCTCCAGTGCTTGATGTATTAAGCCCTGCTGTGCCACACTGAGCTCCTAATGACCACCAGCCATTAGTGGCCGAGCGCCATCTCAGCTACTCGTTTGTCTAAGCCTCCAGAGCAGTAGCTTATCTGCTAAATAAAGTCTCAAGCATCCAACAGTAGGAGTTGGAACCTCTCCTCTTTACTAGTTCTAACCCACCCTGAATTGGGCAGGAGTGTGCTAGTGCTGTGGGATGGCCAGCCTCTGAAGTGAATTTTTCTCACCATGGTTCTTAATGACCATGTGTCAGCATCCCAGCCAAGTGTTTGTCTGGCCTACTCTTAACTGACAAGGCTGGAACATTCAGCCTCGCTCTGTAGGTGATCTTCCTGGCTGCCTGCCATTTTATACTGCCAACTGATGAGAGAGTGCCAAAAGGCAAACTTTTGCTGTCCTCCTTCCCCCTTCCTGTCCCTAGTCAGGTACAGCTAGGATTTACTTTCTTGTCTGCAAACGCATGTGCTTTGGAGACTGCATTGAAGGAAATACATTCTGTGGGTTTAGTGCTGTATACTGCAGGGTTTTAAGAGTCTAAGAACTAGCTTGGTTCTTGTCCCATCATGGGTTGCCTTTGCTACCTTTTGTAGCAGGGAGACAAAAGCATCAGCTGAAAGTTTGCCTCATGCTGGACAAAATCCAATTCTTTTGTTAGCTGTAATTCAGAGACAAACTTAGGAGGGCTGTATTAGCTGCAGAGAATGCAGGATGTAACTGAATTGTTTTGAGGACCGTTGGTTTGTTTTCTATCTTGATAAGAGTTCCGATGTTTCTTTTTTTTTTTAAACTCCACTTGAATGTTTAAAAAATACGGCTGCAGGTTGGCTTATAAAAATTAACCCTTTAGCGCCTGGGTCCTTTGCCTCTGTCTGCTAGCATCCTGTTGAAGTTGTAAGAATGCCAGATTGTACCTTAATCCAGCAATGTGGCAAATTCCCTGTAATCTCAATATTTGCCCTCAGCCAGGTGGGTAGCAGTGAACTCTCTAGGTACAGTAGCTGTGTTGGGTCTGAGCTGCAGCAGCTTGGTTTCTAACTAGCACAGGCAGGGTTCATCTTTCCTTTGCAGAGATTCTGTTTTTTGCCTGGCAGAGAGTATCACCTCCTAATGGGTGGAATGAAAGAGAATATGAGCAGTTTAGGATTGGAGTGAAGGGGCCATGTGCAGGGTTTTTTTTTTCTGTCAGTTGCTTACTGATTTCTGTAGAAATCTCTAGTGATGTTACCTTATTCTTTGGAAAAGTGGGGAGAAATGTTTGTCTGACCTGTTCCTCTCCATTGTGCCTTCATCCAGATCTGAAACCTCTGAGGCCTACTAAATGCCAAGGAAAAGTTTTTGTCTCTTTCTAGACAGGGAAACAGACTGGCTGGGTGATATAGAGCAGTAGAAGATGGCAGAGTTGGGATTGGAGTTTGTTTGGGATACCCATCCCCTAGCCCCTGCTGCTGCTTTCAGTGGAAAGATTTTCTCTGCTGCGTTAGTATCTTAGGAAACTAGGACTGGAAGCAACCTCACGAAGTCATTTAGTCCAGCCCCCTGCTCGAGGCAGGATCGCCTCTGACTAAATCATCTCATCCAAGTGTCTTTCCAGCTTGCTCTTGAAAATATTCAAAGATGGAGATTCCACAATTGCAACCAATAACATGACTCTGGATACTCCTCTTCCATCTGTTGCACTTAAAAATAGGGTTTTAAACCTAGCGCTCTAAGAATTGACACAATACTCAGTTGATGAATAGCAAAAAGGCTTGCTTTAATAACTACAAACAAGTTACAAAACTAAATGACAGAAAAAAACTCTTTCCCAATATAAAATGAGCTATTAGTCCTTGTATTATCTTAGCTGCAAAGAAACTTTTACCCAGTGCAGGCAGGAAACTTCTTGTGCAGCCTCGCAGCATGGATCTTTTGCTTATCAGCTGGGTGGCAGGATGGCTTCTCGGTTTTCCCTGGACTGCACATACTTTGCTAGCAATTCTGTTTTGCTTTATACTGTTTAATTATATGGCTTGAAAGCATTTTTCCTTGATAGTTAGCCAATTAAAGTCTGAACAAAATAGGGAGGAAAAAGGTAACCATCATATTACAGTTGTTACATTGCCTGCCTCCTGTTTTTGGATTTGTCTAGGTGTGAAGACTTGGTTTTTTTTGCAGACCCCGATTAGCTGAGCGATTAGAAGTGATGGGCTTTGAGTGATTTAAACAGGATACCTAGAGGCATTGGTTACCGGACCTGTCTTTGAGTATTTGTTTATCAATGGGGCGAATTTGCAATAGCTTGTACCAGTGATGGTCTATTTACAAAACTCCAGATATACACTGAATGATTGAGACATTTGTAATACAGGCAGTCCTTGACTTGCAACATTTCGAGTTACAACATTTTGCACTTACAACATTTCTAAATTGACACCGTTTCAACTTTATGACGGTTTTGATTTTACAGTGCTTGATCTGACGTGACATCACGCCAGCGAACAAGTTCGCTGCGTTGCTCATCTCCCTGGAGAGCATTTGCCCAAATTTCCTTGGACAGTTTCTTTAAGAGAGCAGACAAGACTCCAGAAAAACCTGCAGCCGAGACTCCGGAGAAGAGTCCAGGCAAGAGCCATTCAAAAAGACCAGCAAAGTCACCTCAAAGAAGTCCTTCCAAATCAACATGATTGCTATTTACAATATAAATACATTCATGTAGCTATATTACTCACCCATAATTGATCGAGTACAAAATTCTGGGGTACTTTTGGTGAAAATAGGGTATCAGGCCTTGGTTCAGGAACCAATCCCCCATTTATAACATTATTTCTTATGAGAAAATTGGTTCTGAGTTATAACGTTTCAACTTAAGATGCAGTTTTCAGGAACCAATTGTGTCCTAAGTTCAAGGACTGCCTGTACCTTAGACATTGGATGCCTGTTTTGAGAAATGTGAGATGTCATGTACAGGACATCTTTTCCTGTATTCAGTGCACCTTTTATGGTTTTGCTTCAGATATAGATTTAGTTTCTTGTTTTCTTTAGTTGCTAGTTCAAATGAAATGCATATGTAGTTTCCTTGTCTTTACTGGCTCAGTCTCTTTCTCTGTCTTTCTTAGCTTGAAGATACACATGTGATGAGTGTCAGGTCCCTGCCAACAATTTTAACCATCACTTTTATTATTTTATGGTATGGATGTGGTATTGGGTAGGAGTGTGCAAAACGGACCATATTTGATTTGGATTTGGCCCAAATCGGACAGTGATTCAATTTGTTGATTCCGATCACTGTCCTGATTCGATTAGGCTGAATCCAAATCTGAAGATTCAATGCTGGTTCGGAGAATCAGCGATTCAGCCATAGACGCAGCTTTAAATGTTTTTTCTACGTACCTCGAGGTACCAGGCATGGCTTGCGAATGCTGCAATGCTGGTGCAGATGGAGAGTCTCACAGGAGTGTGAGGAGGGCTCCCCTGTGGACTTGGCGGCCAACCCAGAAGCATTTCCGGTCCACTTCTGGGTCTGTTGCCAAGCACATGGGGGACCCTCAGCCCCCTCAGCTCGGCAGTTGGCCACAGGGGGACCCCAGGTACCCCCCAGACCCAGGAGGCACCAGTTGCTGAGTTGGGGGGGGTCCCCTGCACGCTTCGTGGTGGAACCCCCCCTCCCCCGCCATGCTCCCATGGGATGCTCCATACACCCCACCACCGCATTGTTCATGAGGCACCTGGTACCTTAAGGTATGTGGAAAAAAACATTTAGAGCTGTGCCTATGTCCAAATCATCGAATCTCTCCAAATCAATCCAGAAGGTTCTGATTAAGTTTGGAGAGATTAAAGGGCCTTCTGATTTGATTCAGATTTGGAGTTTCAGCAGCTGAATTGGGCTGACTCTCCGCTAAATTGAATCAGCAACCACAGCCCTAGTATTGGGTACCTTGAGCTCCACTGTCTCAACGCGTAATGGGTTGCAAGCCATTAGTGAAGTTTGATTTTCTTGTGGCAGTCTTGTTACCACAACTCCATCTTGCCCCAGCCACTGTCTTGCATTTTTGTGCAAGAGATGCTGTTCCAAGCTTTCAGTTTTCATATCCAGCACCATCTTAATGATTCTTCCCCATTTTCCAGCTGGCTGCTATAAACAAGCTGCGAGTGAA